AAAAAAAAACTCTTATAAACCAACAAGAAAAGTACAAACACATGGGTAGAAAAATTAGCAAAGAACATGATAGACAACCCACAAAAGAACTATAAGTAGCCAAAAAATAGGTTAAAAACACCGAGCGCAGTGGCTCACACCTGTAATCCCAGCACTCTGGGAGGCTGAGGTAGGAGGATCGCTATCGGCCAGGAGTTTGACACCAGCCTGAGCAAGAGCAAGACCCCGTTTCTACAAGAAACAAAAATTAGCCAGACATCATGGCGCCTGTAGTCCCAGCTACTCGGGAGGCTGAGGGAGGAGGACCACTTGAGACCAGGAGTTGGAGGCTGCAGTGAGCTGTGATGATGCCGCTGCGCTCCAAACAGAGTGAGACTCTGTCTCCAGAAAAAAAAAAAAAATAGGTTAAAAGCATTTAATACCACTAAGGATATAAGAAATTTTTTATTACAGATGCATTTTTAAACTTATATTGGTAAAGATTTAAGAAATAATACCCAGATGGGTAAAGCTACAGTAGTATACACTTATGATATAATTTGTGATTTTAAAAAACAGCAGGAAACACATCGAAATGTTACTGGTAACTATGTTTGGACACTGAAAATTGGAGGCTTTTGATATTACGCTTATTGTATTCTGAAGTTTCTTCAATGGAAATGCAAGACATAAACAGTGAGCAAACAACTATAGAAAGTATTTCTCAGACGGAGGAGCAGTACCTGCGTTGTGAAGTGGGGCCGCGACTCTCCCACAGGCAGGCCGCGGTCCAGCGGCACCTCGGGCGCCACGCCTGGGCGCTGCGCTTCAGTAGTGGGAGGAAGAGGGTGGCGAGGTGGTTTCCCTGGAAACAAGATCAGGGAGTGTTTGTTCTCCGTGGATACATCATTTCTGGGTTTCTCCTGTGCTAAGTACAAATACTCAAAAAGAACAGCATGTTCCTTTTCAAAACCAGAGTAACTTCTGTTTCCCAGAGGACGCGGGGCAAGGGGAGGGACACCTGGAGCTGTGACACGCACGGCCGTTCAGCCGAGCCCACGGACACGGCACAGAGCACCACCGCCACACACATCCCTCAGACAGCGTCTCAAAGTGGCAGAAGGGAACACATTTGTTAACAAACCCAAAGATATTCCCTCCCTGTAGCATATGAAAATAAGAAGCAAAAGTTTAAGCACATAAACTTAAAAATTATGGTTGTGATCAACGCATTCTCTCTCACCGAGAAATGATCTGCACGTCAAATGAAGATCCTTTCTTCAACTCAGTTTATGTGAAGTGACCTAAAGATCTTGGAAATTTTCCTTTTTTTTTTTTTTTTTTTGAGACAGAGTGTCACTGTGTTGCCCGGGCTAGAGTGCCGTGGCATCATCCTAGCTCACAGCAACCTCAAACTCCTAGGCTCAAGCGATCCTCCTGCCTCAGCCTCCCGAGTAGCTGGGACTACAGGCACGTGCCACCATGCCCAGCTAATTTTTTCTATGTATTTTTAGTTGTCCGATTAATTTCTTTCTATTTTCAGTAGAGACAGGGTCTCGCTCTTGCTCAGGCTGGTCTCGAACTCCTGAGCTCAAACAATCCGCCCGCCTCGGCCTCCCAGAGTGCTAGGATTACAGGCGTGAGCCACCACGCCCGGCGGAAATCTTCCTTTAATCTGACATACCTCAAGACATAATTACTGTTTATATAATGTTTCCTGGAATAACAAATCAATTTGGCTACATTTACTGAGGATCCGAATAAGTTTTCTGGGGGGGAGGTTATAACTATTGCTATTCAGCATGCTGGAAATTGAGAAGTTTTCATTTAGCAACAATCACGCCTCGAATAAACGGCATTGGCTACGATACCGCCACTGCGCAGAGCTGGCACACTGGAAATTGAGGAGCTTGTTTATCGATCCATTTGAAGGTACTGGTGACGTGGAATCATGAAGTTAGCTCTGCCCTATGGACCTCCTGAGATGGGTCCGAAAGGGCCAGTTTTCCCAGACAATAAAAGGACCCATGGAAGATGAAATTTGGGCCAGTGGCTCACACCTGAGATCAGCACGTTGGGAGGCTGAGCTCGGGGGACACTGCCAGGAGATTTCCCTTCCCCAGAGTCCTGACGCTGCCTCACCTGACGCTGCCTCGCCTGACGCGATCAGACAGCAACTGCATGGAGCATCAGGCAGAACCCGGCCACCGCTCCACACGTGTGCATGCCCTTCGCCTTGCTGCTGTGATGTGAACTGAGCACCTTCCTCGAGCCCAGGAGTTGGAGGCTGCAGTGAGCTGTGATCGGCCTCCCTGGTAGATGGGATGGCAGGTGCCACCGCACCTGGCTTAGGACTCCGCACTTTAGCGGGGAACGGACTTCCCGAAAGGAGACAAATGGTGTGTGTTTGGAATACATGAAGGAAGACCGAAAAGCCTCCTTCATTCTCTTCTCTTCTCACTCCACTCTCCTCCCAAACTGCCAAGAAATCAACAAGCTTCCCGCCAGTCCTCCCCGTGGATGTGCACACGCACACGCCCTTTCATGTGTTTGCTTGGTGATCTAAACACGCTCTTGAGCAGATTGCTGCTTCCACGTGATGACACGACCATGTCAGTGTCACGTGGGAGGTGGTCAGCAGGCCACGCTGGTCCGCGGATGGCAGCGGGCCCACAGTGAGACAACATGGAAAGTGAGAGCCAGCCCCAGGAGCTTCCGTGGAGCTGCCACGGCATTTATGGCACTCGACAGGCGCACCTGCCCACAGCACCCGCGAGGGTGGGCGGGCTCTCCGCCAGCCGCAGGGGCCGGCAGCACTGCCAGGGCTGGATGCCGATGCCCCGAGCACAGTCCACTCCCATCAGACCGTTCGCGATTATTTTCTTGCTACTGCAAAGATTTTGCTAAGACTACCCTTCATATTTATCTTTTCTATATCCATCAGAATATCTTTTAAATAGACTTCCAGGAGAAGACTCACTGATTCAAAGGGTCCAAACATTTAAAAATTGGACAGATGCAGCCAAACTGCCTTCCAAAGAGGCTTTTCCAGCGGAGATTCCTGCCGACACAGCATGGTGTGTCCCCTGTACCCTCCACACCAAACACCACACTTTTAAACCGGAGACACATTTCCTGGAGGCCAAGCGACATCCTCGTCGGTCGTGCGGGTTCGTGCTGGACCTGCCTCCGGCCCTGCGCCCTGAGCTCTCCCCACGCCCGTCACGGGTACGGATTCTTTTTACCTGTCAGGTTTGTCACAAACATTTACCTAGTCTGTTGTCTTTTTTCTTTGATGCCTTTTCCTTAGAGATGCTTTAAAATGTAATGACGTCTAATCTGTGGATCGTTAACTTTCCCAGGCCTTGGTGGTTTCAAATTTTTCGGTCTGACTGAGGGGAGCTTTTCTCCCTGAAGATGAACTGAGTCGATGTAGGCACAGCAGTGGGGCAAGGACAGTGAGTTGAACCCCACATCACACACAAAAGTAAACTCCCGATGACTTAAATATCAAAATGCGAAATGACAGAAGTCTCATAAAATAAGGAAAGACAGCCACAGACGCGGGAGGGGACAGGAGTGACAGGGGACCATGTGCTCCATGGTGCTCTCAAGGCCGTGGTGCTTTCCAGCTGAATGTCAATGGCCAAAACTGGTCCAAGAAGAGGCAGAAAAGCCACACAGACATGTCACTACAGAAGAAAATGAAAAGATAATTTGAAGTCTACCATTAACAAAGGCACCAGATATGGAGAGTTTTATTGCTAAGGTCTCTCTAATCTTCAGAGAGGGCTGCTAACTTGGTCACTAGGGATTCATGGCTTTCTCTGAGGTTGTGAGGCAGCTGGGGAGCAGACCTGGTGAGAGGAGACAGAGGGTTCAGCCAGATCTGCGCCTGGAGAAGCAGGCACTGAGGAAGGTAGGAAGCATCTGGTACCAGCAGGGGCTTTTCTGCTGGATGGAAGGATGAGTGGATGGGCGGGCAGGTGGGTGGATGGGTGGGTAGATGGGTGGGCAGGTGGGTGGATGGAAGGATGAGTGGATGGATGGGTGAGTGGTTGGATGGACGGGTGGGCAGATGGATGGGTGGATGGATGACTCACTGAAACACTTGGCCATCGGCTAGTCCAGCTAAAGAAGCTACAAAGAGGAAGAAAGACGAATTCCCTGGAATGAAGGGTCAGAGCGGGAGGCATGGATGCAGTCAGAGTCCGTGGTTATTGGCAGAACCAGGCATGGAGGTCAAGGTCAAAGAGTGGCAAGGCTCAGATGTGGGGGGTGTTGCCGGTTTAGAAGACGATAGAATAGGATGGAATTCAGAGAGAGAAGACAGAACCACAGTGCTCAAGTCACTGCAGTTGCCAACCATGAAGTTACAGGGACAAGGGAGGAGGGCGTGGGCCTGGGCACGGACTTGACAAGGCCCTTGTCAGCCTGGCAGAAAGGTGGCCAGAGGAGGGGACAGGCGAGAGCGGCTTCCGTCAACGCTGGTCCTGAGAGACGCCGAGCTGTGACTGGGCAGCCAGCCTGCCCAGTCTGCCCCTGCATTTGTGGGTCCCTGACAAGGCAGGTAGGTCCACATCCCACCGGTTTACCACTAACAACATCTTCTAGAAATGCCAGCCACCAAGAACTGTTTGGTACCCCTCTTTCCAGGGCCAGGTTTGTAGTAGGACAAAGCCTCTATGACGACTCTCTCCCAAGCAGCTCAGGTGAACGTGCTCTGAGGAGGACCTGGGTTAAGTCACAGGTGAGGTCTGACTCACACCTGTGCCACGGCGTGGTCCCAGGCCCCAGCCTTCCCTTAGCTGTCGGCACATGGGCTGGAGCGGGTGCGGCCTACACGCCACTCGACAAGGGGCGGAACCCCAGCGCCTACACTCGGGGGCCACCGTGGCAACTCAGAGCTCCGCGATCCGGGTCTGCCTGGAGGAGGAGACGTGGCAGAGGCTGTGTGAGGCGAGCGAGGCTGCTGAGAAACGGGGCACGTGCTTTGGTGCTGCAGGAAAATCGAAGGGGACTCGACACAGTCTGAGAGCCGCGCCTGACCGATGTCACTGGACGGTGCCCACCCAGAGGAGCGTGTGAGAAACACCTCCCCACAGAAGGCATCCGTGCTTGTGCCTGGCAACTTTAGTAGATCTCCCACGGATCTTCAGCTGGAGTCCCGTCCCTCCACGGTGGCGCTGAGCATTTCTGAGCACAGTCTGCCACGTGTGCTGGGAACAGGTGTGCCTCAGACTCGAGCCACCCGCCTTTCCCGGGAGCCAGCCCGAGCATGTGCGTGTCACGGTCCCGGCCATGGTCTCTATCAGGACACAGCTCTGCTCTCTCTGCAGAAGCCCCGCCTGGGGACACGGCAGCCTCTGCTGCTCTCCGCAAAGCCGCACAGACACCAGCTGCCTCGCTGCCTGGAGGTGTTTTTCTCAGACGCTGCCAGAGCAGAGGGCTCGCAGGTCACCCGTCGCTGAGGTGGACATTGCGACTTCTGCCTGGGCTCCGCTCCACAGCGAGCGGCTCCCTGGTAGGTCCGAGGCCAGAGCCCTCCCGCCGACCCCGGGCTCTCAGAGGTGCCAGTGGCCCGATCCGGGCCTCCTCCCCTAGACCACGGGGCGCACACCCGAGAACCTGGCCCCCCACTCCAGGCCAATGCTCCCGCTCTCCAGGACTCACCTTTAGGGTGGCCGCCCTCCGCGCGGAGTCTGTTCCCCATCTCGATGAGCTGCTCCTTCTCCAGGTGGAGGCTGAGGATTTTTCTGGCCGCTTCCTTCAGCTTCCTCTGGAGCTGGTGCACAGACAGGGACTGCAGGGGCTGTGGCCCTGGCCGCAGGTGCCTGAGGAGCTCCCTCTGGTCCTCAGCCTGCGCGGGCGCACCAGTCTCGACGCCCTGTGGACAGACCCACATGCGGATGGCCCCGAGGCCAGCCCCAGCCAGATCTCTTGCGGGAAGAGGACAAAAAGGGGTGCGGGTGCGGATGGTGGGTAGCCACTGCCCGGCCCACGGAGCCTCCCCACTGGCCCCCAGAACCAGCACTGCTGTCTGCGCCACAGGGTGATGTCCTTCTAAGAGCAGGACAGGAGCGGTCACTGTCTCCTGTGCTCTGGTGGGTTTCTTCCTTCCCACAAATAAGATCAATAAATCCCATTTACCACAAGTCTCCCAGGCCAAGGCCTGACCGCAGGGAACCTCTCGTCGTGGCCTCCCCACCTCCTGCTCCTATGAGCCCAGGGGCCTGTGCGTTCCTCCGCACCCGCCACTGTCCTGCACTCCGGCCACCCTTGCCTATGTCTTTCAAGGGAAGACGAAGAGGATGCTGGGGACACGAGGAGCAGAGGGACAGGCCGCCCTGCCAGCCTTCCAAGGCGCCCGCAGGTGCTGGCAGGACCCTGCCTTCTCCTCCCCTCTGGTTCTCTCCTTTCTCCGCCTCCTGGCAGACACCCCTCAGCCACCTACAGTGGGCCATGGCTTCCCAGCATCCTGCAGAAGGCGCAGGGAGAACGCAAAGGCAAAGGCACTGAGGGAGGAGGCTGTCGAGGAGGGGACAGTGGAGCCACCTGGGTCCCCCAGGGCCCTGGGCCCGAGACAGTCCAGATCTGAGCCCCCGTTGGCGCGGTGCCGGGCTTGCGGTCCACACCACACAACTGCCGCGCTCAAGTGCAGTTCCAGCGTGGAGGGACGTCTGGGACAGAAACAGAGGCGCCACAGGCCTGGCAATGAGGACCTGTTCCTGCCTCTGCCTGGCTGTGGCCGACCCTGTGAGAAGCTGTGCCACACCCGTCCTGGCCTCGGGAGCTCCCGAGTCCCTGGAACAGACCGGCACACTCTGTCCCAGCCGCTTCCTGGTGTGCCTCTCCAGGGCTGGCAGGCGCCCGTGCCCCCTGGGCGCTGCTGTTCTTTAGACGGCCTTGGAGCCGCGCAGCCACTGCGTGAGGTGCCTCCAGGGCAGGTGCCACAGGTCAGTGTGGGACCGAGAGGGGTCACAGGGATGATTCAGCACAGAGAGACGTCTCTTCTCCCCGTAGGCCACGCACCCCGGATCCTGATGCACTTCCCAGTGTGTGACGCGCGCCTGCCCTGGGAGCGGCCTCTGGTCTCGCAGGACAAAGGCCGTGAGCCGGGCCGGGGCTCTGCACACACCCGAGGGGCCCACCTGGGCCCAGTGAGACAGGCCACAGCCTGGAGAGCCAGGCCCAGGCAGGCGGGAACCCGGGTCTTCTACAGGAACACAGTGGATTGTTTTGTTATTTCAAGTGAGAAAAGAAGAATCCTGAAAACAGAGACTTTGCAGACCTCAGAACACTTGGAGATTGAAGAGAAAATTTGCTCTTCAGAGGAGATGCCCCTTCCCACGACGCTGCCATCCGGTGGCCGCTGCCAGGCTCAAGGGGCTCCGGGGCCTTCATGCCGTTGGTGTCAAATGCACCGTGACTCTACACACAGTGACCCGGGGTACGTGCAGGGAGGATTCCACCTTTCTTGGATTCAGTTTCTGGTAAAATTTTATTTGGTAAAAGTTCATTTTGATGACTCTCTGAAGTCTTTCCCCAAAATACAGATTTTGTGGGCCACTGACCCCGAGGAGTCCTTCAGGAGGCTGAGGTCTGAGGCCGGCACCGTGGCTGCTATGCCACCAGGAGAGCCAGCGCTGACTCGATGGCCAACACTGCCCCCCAGTGGCCCGGGGACATGTCTGCGTCCCCTCCCCTCCCCCTGCTGTCCTCTCACAGGCAGGCAGGAAGGCCTGGGGGCTGAGTTTGGGCTTCCGGGACCAGGCGCAGCTGCCCTGGGCGCTGAGACGGGCGGGCGGCAGGTGGCCGGGCCTGCCTGGGAGCAGGGTAACCCACGCTGCCCGGCAGTCTCTCCCTCCGAGGCTGGGCCTGGTGGGCCCTGGGCAGCTCACATGGCACCAGAGAAGTAGGAACATGACACTGCACATGCCTGGGTCCCAAAAGCCGTATGAGGTTCTCCAGCTTTGCAGACTCCTCGCCCCTTGGCTGGGGTGGGGGCAAAGGGGCCCAGCTTCTGACAGAGAAGCCGCAAGGACGGTCCCCCAGAGCTCATCGGCACCAGCCCCTCCACGAAATCCTCCTGAACCGTCTGAGAGTAAGCTGGGGACACAGGGCGCTTTACACCTCAACATTTGGGTTTGTGCTTCCTGTGACAGGGATGCGTGGACACGACACAGGACCTGACCCACGGCCACCTGTCCAGATGACCCTGCACAGCTCATCTTTCCTGTCCAGGATGCCGTGTGGCACTCACATGCAGGGGGACGTCTCCACTCGTGTTTTGTGACACACTCCGGAGGGCCTGGGCCAGCTCATTTGTAGCACAGCTGTCCCTCCGTCTGGGTCTGAGGTTTCCTCATGCTTAGGTTCAGGTCTGTGTTCTTGGCATGAGCCCCAGGCATGAAGCTGTGCCTCCTTGGTGCAGCCCGGCCAGAGGCAGGTGATGTCTGTCTGTCCCAGCATTGGGGACATGAGCTCCGACAGTTCGGTTAAGGTGGGGGCCCACAGGCTGCTCCACTGAAAAGGTACCGTTTCTCTCGGTGGTTAAGAAGTCATTTGTGGGCGGGGCGCAGTGGCTCACACCTGTGATCCCAGCACTTTGGGAGCTCAAGGCAGGAGGATCACTTGAGGCCAGGAGTTCAAGACCAGCCTGAGCAACACAGCGAGACCCCTGTCTCTTCAAAAAAAAGTAGTGATTTCTGAGGAGATGCTGAATAAACGCCTTGTTTCCCATCCAACTTGCACCTCTAATTTCAGTGCTCATCCGTGATCGTCCAGCCGCACCACTCCTTTTACTCTGTCAGCTGACACTCCTCTTCCTTGACTCCTCTGTCTGTGCCAGCAAGGACTTATACCTCCCTGTGCACCCGGTGGTGCACGATCTTTTCCATCATAGCTGCCGGCCCGCAGGGGGCCAGGGGAGCCCCTTGGAGCTGGGTCCTGTGGGCAGAGCAGGAAACGCAGGCGCCAGCGTCTGGGCACTGGGCGCCACTGCTGCTGCCGAACCCCAAAACAACAGCTGTATTTGTCCCTACACTGGTGACCCCACTCGGCCCCTAGGAGTGGTGTCTCCGTGCCCCCACCCTGTCTGCCCGGCCCCTTGTCTCCAGGAGCTCAGACCTTGCCCGGCAGAGAGTGGCCACTCATCTTCCACCCAGGGAGTGACCTCTCACCTCGAGGAGGTCACAGGTCACCCAGACCCACAGGGAGCCCAGAGCCTGGCTGCTGTTTCTTCTCAATGTGGACAGTGAGGCCCAAGAGCGCTCTGCCTTGGGCCACCCTGGCTCCCAGTCTGTCTGCCGTGCGGGTGAAAGAGGCGCAGGGAGCAACATGCTTCTGGCGGTGCTGCCAGCGGGGCCAGGAGCCAGCCCTGCAGCTGCTGCACTCTGGGGAGTCCGGCACTTACCAACCAGCTCAGCCCTCCTGGTGCCAGACGGTGTGTGCCAGGTGGGCAGCACAGGCTCCCCCGGCCTCCCCAGCCCTGGCCCTGTCTTCTCCCCGGCGTCCTCACACTTTTGCCCACACAAAGGCACGTCTGGCCTGTTCCTCGTTTTCCAAGAGCCCAAGAGAGCTGCAGCCACACCTTCTTCTCCAGCAGCAACCCGTGTCCCCAGGCCTTGGGGATGCACGTTCTGCCTTTAGTTTCTGTGCTGGTTCTGCCAGGGAACTCTCAGAGCTTCCAGACATCCTTTTACTGTCCCTAAAACCTCTGGCTTTTTAATAGGTCACCAACAGTAATCACAAGTCACCACAGGCCACTGACAGTCTCAGGGAGCCCGTGAGGGAGCCCAGGCAGCCTGACCTTCCCACCCTTCTCTCGTGGCCTTGACTAAGAAGAAAGGGGACTGCTGGTCAGCTCCACCACGCCGCAGAGCCAGGGTCCGGAGCCCGCCCCACAGCGCAGAACCTTGGCTCAAACCCCATTGCGGAGCTGGGGGCACTTGTGCTGAGGGCCTGACTGGGGCCGGGAGAGGGGGCAGCTGCGACCCTGAGCAGTCCCAGGCGGCTCTGAAGGCTGCAGCAAGCACCACATGGCCCCTCCGCACCCTGGAGGGCCCATGACACGGCGCCAGGGCAGCGCCCACTCACAGGGATGCCCCCCAGCAAGCCATCGATGGTCCTGTTTTAAAGGAAACACAACAGCCGTCTTCGGTACGTGAGTTTCCCACGGCAGATGCTTTTAACTGAAGGGAGAGCTGGCGGGTGGGGATGCACCCACCCACACCAGCAACAGGCGAAGCGGAGGACCAGAGTGAGAGCAAGCTCATGGAGGAAGAAGGTAGAGGAAGAGGAGAAAGGGTGGAGGCGGGAGGTCCAGGCACCACCCGTGCCACCGCCGAGGGCACTGCAGGCGGAGCCCCAGCAAGGAGGGCCGTCCTGGCAGGAGCTGCAGGGCCCTCTGGAGCAGGGAACCCACCTCTCTCTGGAGGGCTGCAGCGTCCAAAGCTCGTGGCTGCTTCCGGCCTGAAGGCTCCCCTCCTTCCTGCCGGGCCATCCCGAGATGCACCCCCAGCTCAGCCACCTGCGTTCGCAGCTCCAAAACCTCCAGGTGCACTTGGTCCACCTCGCGGGGAAGCTCGCGCTGGACGGTGTCCAGCTCCAGGGGCTTCTGCAACACCTAGGAGGCCATTGGGGAGCAGCGTTAGGAAGGAGGCAGCAGGTGGGTGGAGCCAGGGCCCAGGGCAAGGACAGGAAGCCCGAGAGGAGCCATGAGCCGGCGTCTCCTCTGGCTGGACGTGGTCACCACAAACCTACTCCCTCACCTCTCGGCCGCTGCTCCCACCTGCCAGCTACCTGGGCAGCTCCGCCCGTGCTCTGCCTCGGACTCTGGGGCCGAGGGCGAGTCTGTATGTGGAAGTGCTGGGACAGAGGAACAGGGCCTCAAAACTCTCTTCCTGAGCCCTGGTCCCAGGTGGAAACAAATGCCTCTAGAGAACTGCAGGTAACCAGCTGGAGCTATTGATTTTTCTTTTCCATTAATCGGAGGGGCACAGCTGGGGAGGCAGGTGCGAGGGAGCTGGGAGGTGCAAGGGCTGAGGCGGAGGCTCCTAGAGGCAGGAGGGAGACCCAGAGGCAGACGAGAGGTGGAAGTGAACGGAAGGCTTGGAAAGGGAAGCCAGGGGCACAGGGACGGCTCCGGTGGCTGCAGGTTGGCCGTGAGGTTCCCAGCCGGGGTCCCCGCCATAGCCTCTCCAGAGCCCCTCGGCTGGCGTCTCCCTCGGTGCCGCTCTCAGCCTCTGCCCCACGCCTGACGCGGGCAGAACAGGCAAGGCAGACGGGAAAGACACACCCTTCCCACTTCATCCTCAGGGGAGAAAATACGACTTTTCCTATCCAGGGACTCCAGCAGAGAATTGCTGATGAATAATTTATGTTTGAATTTGTCACATACACACAAAGGTGACCATTTGGTAAGCAGGCACTGTTAAGTGAAAAAACAAACAAAAAATACTTTGAGGTGAACATTTTTCCTAGGATAACCACATCATCTGTATTACACCAAGATGAAATCACTGCGTGAAACCCCACGCTGGGTAGCACTGGGAAGGGGCGGCTCCGAGGCGTCAGGATCTGGAGTCCCCCTTCTCTCGTGCGTGTGCACAGGCCTCTAACCTCAGGCACAGACACGGAGAAGTGGTTGAGTTCGTCCCTACTGCAGCAAGGAAGACGCACTTCCCATCAAGACACCAGATGTCACCAAAAACGCTAAGTGTGTGAAGTGAGGGATAGGTCGACTAGCCTGACCGGCCATCCCGCAGTGTACACGTGTTTAGAAACAACACGCTGTATACCATAAATACACACGATATTTATTTGGCATTTAAAAACAAACAAATAAATAAATCGAAAATCTTTGGAAGGTGAAAAAAGATAAGGCCGAGTGCGGGAGCCCAGCCTGTGCCCGGCAGCAAATGGGAATTCCGGGGCGGTCTCTGCTCCGCAGGGAGGCTCCGCTTTAGCGCAGTCTACGTGTTTATGGACTGAAGAGGACCCGTGAAAGTTTCCTCTTCAGGTTGCCTCATGAGAAATAAAAGGCAACAGGACAGAATGGCCCAGAAGCACAAGCGACAAGAAAAATACCTAAACCCGATTTGACCAAAATTAGAAACGTTTGTGTTCCCAAGGACTCAATCATCAAGAGAATAACAAGACAGTGGGAGAAAAATCAGCAAATTGAGTATCTGGTAAGGGCTTGTATCCAGGAATGCAGGAAAAAACTCTCATAAAAACGAAAAGACAAATAACCCTGTGGGCGAGGGACCTAAACAGACATTTCTCCAAAGGTGTACAAACGACCAAGCAGCCCGTGAAAAGACATTCAACACCATCACGTGTCATCAAGAACATGCAAATCAAACCACTTCGAGACAGCGCCTCACCCCACCAGGAGGGCTAGAATCACAGACAGACGATGGCCAGCGTTGGGAAGATGTGGAGAAGCTGGAACCTTCCACACTGCCAGTGGGCACGTAAAATGGTGCACCTGCTTTGGAAGACATTCTGGCGGTTCCTCAAAATGTTAAATACAGAATAATCATGTGACCCAGCTATTCTACTTCTAGGTATATACCCAAAAAACTGAAAACCTAAGTCTGCACAGAGACTCGTACAGGAATGTTTATAACAGCATTATTCGCTGTCCAAGAAGTGGAAACAACCCAAATGTTGACCAACACACAAGCAGGTAAACAAATCGTGGTGGATTCACGCAGCGGACTATCATTCAGCCATCGGAAGGAAGGGAGTTCCGACACATCCACAGAGAGACCTCGAGAACCTTACACCACACGAAAGAAGCTGGACATAAGAGGACGAGCTCTTGGCCGGCGCAGTGGCTCACCCTATAGTCCCAGCACTCTGGGAGGCCGAGGCGGGAGGAACACTTGAGACCAGGAGTCTGAGACCAGCCTGAGCAAGAGCAAGACCCCGTCTCTACTAAAAATAGAAAGAAATTAACCAGATAACTAAAAATATATAGAAAAAATTAGCCGGGCATGGCGGTGCATGCCTGTAGTCCCAGCTACTCGGGAGGCTGAGGCAGGATGTCTTGAGCCCGGGAGTTTGAGGCTGCAGTGAGCTATGATCGCTCCACTGCACTCTACCTGGGGGACAGAGTGAGACTCTGTCTCGGGGGAGAAAAAAAAAGGACTAGCACTGTATGATTCTGTCCACATGAGGCACCTAGAATAGACAATTTAGAGACCAAGAGGGAACCACTGGTTACCAGGGGCTGGTTACTAGGGGCTGGTGAGTGGGGAATCACTGCTTTATGGACACAGAGTTTCCATTTGGGGTGGATGAAAAAGTTCTGCAAATAGACCATGGTAATGTCTACACAACACTGGGAATGTACTTAATGCCACTGAACGGTGCACTTAAAAATGGTTAAAATGGTAACATTTGTTATGCATATGTTATAATTTTTTAAAGTAAAAAACAAAAAGATATTATGAATTTGGAGCAATCAGACCTGGGTTGTGATTCCAGCCACATGGTGACAGGACAGGATTTGTGCTGGGATTCCTCTCAGCCGAGCATGATCACACCCTGACCCCCAGAAGGGCACTGGACCAGGGGACTGCAAAGGACGGCATTTGCTAACGTCACGGGGAGACCGCCAACGGGTGTGCTTGTCACAGACACTGCACGCAGCGTGGGCCACTCCTGGGGCTGGTCCCACGGGCAGGTGGCAGCGGAGCAGCCTGAGGCACAGCAAGGGGCGGGAGTCCTGCCCACCGGCGCTGCACCACGGCCCGACCTTTTCTCTCTCAGCAGATTCTGACTCTGCACCTTCTGCGACCACACACGAGACAAACGAGCTGCTCCTCACAACAGCCCCGTCCTCAGTAAGGAAGGAAACAAAGCACAGAGAGGTCAAGAGGATGTCAGAGGTCACACAGGGTTGGGCTCAGCAGCCGATCAGAGCCCACCCGTGGGAACAGCTCTCAAGTAGGAAGACCCCACAACTTCGAGTGTCAGCAGGGTGGCCTCACCTTCTGCCTGAGCCGCGTCACCAGCAAGTTCAGCAGACGCACTCTGTCTCCGAGCTTCCTGAGCGCCAGTCCAGTGGGCGCTTGGCCAGCTCGGACAGATCCTGCTGTAGAGAAAAGCGACTTCTGTCAGGCTCGGATCTTAGAAAATAAGGAGGGGAGATGAACATCACTCTCATCTCTGCCCTCGTCCGTGGAGGCTGCAGGACCAGCTGCTGACCTCAGTGCGGACTTCCTCATGGCAGCCGAGAGATCTGGGTCCCCATGCAGGTCAGAGAGGTGTCGTACGTAAAGTACAACCCTTATGCAGAGAAAGGAATCTTTGTAGGAAAAACTCCAAGCTTACCATGTAGCACCTGACAGAGACCAACTGCTCTAGTCTTTCCACTTAAATTTGGGACCATTTGTTTGAAAATCAAGAAAAAGATGTCCACATACATAACACATGGTTCAAAGAAGAAATCACGATGGAAGTTACACATTAGTTTGAACTGAATGATAACAACGCTACTTTCCAAACTTAAGGAGTACACCTAAAGCTGTCCATTCAAGAAAATAAAAACACACACACACACACACACACACACACACACATATATTTTTTAGAGATGGGGTTTCTCTGTCACCCAGGTTGGAGTGCAGTGGCGTGATCATAGCTCAGTGTGGCTTCAAACTCCCGGGTTCAAGTGATCCTCCTGCCTCAGCCTCCCAAGTACGTGGGACTACAGCACCTGAGTGTGTGTGTGTGTGTGTGTGTGTGTGTGTGTGTGTGTATGTGTGTGTAGAGCTAGGGTCTTACTATGTTGTCCTGGCCTCAAGAGATCCTCCTGCCTTGGCCTTCCAAAGTGCTGGGATTACAGACATGAGCCACCACATTCAACCCCATTCAAGAATATTTATATGCATATTTTAGAATATGAAACATATTTATGAATATTTAAATGCATGTTTTAGAAAAGAAGAAAGGGTGAAAATCAATGAGCTAAAATTGATCTCAAAAAATTAGAAAAACATGCTGGGTGCAGTGGCTCAGCCCCTTCCCCTATCCCCAAAGCCCCACACCCTCCCTGCCTGCAGCCTGCTGTATACACAGCACAGCCCCTTTCAGGAAGAGCACACGGGAGGGTCGGGGTGGAGGGAGGAGCCCATGCGTGAAACCAGCCACAGGTAACAGAGCAAAACCTCTGGGAACCGGGCTCTGAGCTGAATCCTGCCCAGCAGTTCACGGGGCTCTCAGTAGCTCCCGAGGAGAGGGCAGGGCAGGGCCCCGAGCGTGGGCCAGGACACCACTGCCCACCTAGCAACGCTGACTGCCTGACAAAACGAAAGATAGAATGATACAATCAAAATCTGTTCCTCATACCGAAAACCAGGAAATCTCAACGTGAATGAAAAAGGCAACGCCAAGATGACGCAGATGCTGGAATTACGCGATGAGGCAGCCGCCATAAAACACTCCAGCAGGCAATTTGATACACTCTTCCAACAAATGGCAAAATGAAAGCTCCAGCAAAGAAACGGAAGACATGAAGAAAATCAAAATGGAAACGGTTGAAACGGTGTGAATTTAAACAATACGTGACAGAAAAAGAGAGTGACGCTCAACTGAGGTTTATTACGCCAAGACTTTGAGGACATACCTGGGAAACGCACAGCCCCCGCGCAGGGCTCTCCGCAGAAAGGGTCGAGAACTGCGATTTAAAGGACGAAAAGGGTGCCCCAGAAGAAGGGAGGGCGAAGCAGGGAGCCTGAGGCAGCGGATGGTTCTTAGGGCTGTGTTCTAGCTCAGTAAACCTGCCTGAGATAAGATGAACGTTCAAAAAAGGGATCTCAGGGTGGGTAGAGAAGTTGACCTTATCTCTCCCGGGTTTGCATCCTGGAGATAAACTTGTGATGGAAGTTTAGGAGTTTATTCAGGCCACAACTGACCACACACTCACTTTATAGGGCTGCATATCTTGAAGGGTTTTGTTTTTTTTTTTTAAGGGCTGAAGGAAATAAGAAATATTTACCCCAAAACACATTTCTTTGTCATGTTTTGAGATGGCTGTGCCAGGCCCTGCCTGTTTGATCTGGGACAGGTTTGTCCCTAAATATCCAAATAAAACACTTCCCTGAGGCTCATCCCAGGACAAGACCACCTGGGCAGCCAGCTTCCCTTCCCCCTGCCGTGCCCTGTCCAGCAAAACACAGCCCTGTCTAGTCATTTTCTAAGCTCCTGCGCTCCCTGGGGAGAGGACACGGTGCTCGGGTGACTCCGCTCTCAGGCGTAATGAATTCTGGGGACTCTGGAGATTGTCATTTTTTCTTTTCAGTGGAAACAATCTCACTGAATGGGCTCAACAGCAGAATGGAAATGACAAAAGGAAGAACTGATAAACTCAAAGAACAGGTCAGTAGAAAGGATCCAACCTGAATAGCAGAGAAAACGCAGCGGGAGGGCAGGCGGGGCCTGCGGCAGCCCTGGGGATTCGTCACACAGAAACCATCAGAGAAGTGCCTTTCTTAGGGATGAGGGGAGCCAGGTTTCTCCCTGCTGGAAAAGGAAATTAGAATAACAAAGAGGAGAAAACTAGAACGAACCTTGCGATGCTGGGCTGACCACAAAGACTGGCCGGTGAGTTTGTCTTGAAATCGAGAACTGCCACTCACCAGAAGATACCAGTGAAGGAGTAAAAGGCAACACATGCAACCAATAATAGACTGATAATCAGAATAAATACCCTAAAAATCTAAGAAAAAAGGCAGACAATCCAATAAAAATCCAAAACAGGCAAATGACACAAAGTGGCACGTCCTAAAAGAGGATATTGAATGGCTAATTCCTATGGACTGAACTGTGCTCCCCAAAATCCACAGGCCGAAGCCCTAACCCTCACGTGACTGTGTTTGGAGTTGGGGCCTGCAAGGAGGTAGTTCAGGTGAAATGAGGTTGCGAGGGTGGGGCCCTGCGGGACGAGTGTCCTCACAGGAAGAGGAAGAGAGACCAGGACTGAGCACAGGGAAAGGCCAGGCGAGGACGCAGGGAGAAGGCGCCGCCCACGAGCCAAGCAGAGGCCTCAGGAGAAACCAGCTGCTGGCGTCTGATCTCAGCCGTCCAGACTCCAGAAGTGACAGAAAATGCCTGTCTGTGGTTTAAGCCGCCCGGTCTGTGGTGCTCACTTAAGGCAGCCGAGCAAACCAATACACCAACGAACACGGGAGAAGATGCTCGATCACACTAACAGATGAGGAAATGCAAGTTAAGCAAGACCAGCTCCTCATCCACTAGAATGGCTACAAGAATGACTGGCTGTGCTAAGTGCTGGTGGGTACAGAGCGCAGGCCCCTCACGCACTGCGGACGGGTGCAAACCGGTACACATCTGGAGAACTGTCTGGCTTATCAAGCAAACACAACATAGGTCAAAGGAACCAGACAAAAGCCCGTGTTCCACACACTTCCATCCGCGTGAAAACAGGGAAACTGCCTACGGAGGGAGGAGTCAGGGCAGCGGCCAACTGGAGGGAGCACACGGGCTGCTGGGAACCCTGTTTGCGAGGGTTCCCCGAGCTGTGAGTCTGCACGTGGGGGACTTTCTGGAGGGATCACACTTCACTTTTCAAAGAAACAGAGTGTAACTGGGACAGAGCACGTGACACAGGGAGATGAGAATGCTCACCAGTCCCCTCCGAGGCGTGGACACTGGGTCGGGCATTACTGTGTGACGAGGACATCCTCAGAGGATCCAACACATCTTTTAGCTGTTCTTCCAATGTTTTAAACTTATGCTTTAGGTTCTGTACTTCTGCTTCAAAGGCCAGAACATAATCTGCCAAAAAAACCAGGGAACGTAACATACGCAGCTCACGTCCATGACCCCCAAGGCAGAGCTGCTCACCACCGACCTCTCCCTGTACCGCCCCACGGTGGCTCCCACACTCCCCGCACCAGCCTGAAAGGCCTCTCTCCTCGTTCACCAGGGCGCCAGCCAGAGACCAGCTTGGACGTTGTATTCTCCAAGAGGGGCTCGGCCAGCAGGAGCGAACACCCAGCCCAGCTCCCAGCCCCCGCGTCTCTGTGCACGGAGGGGAACGGCTCCTGTTTGAGTCCCGAGTCATCCAGCAGCCTGGCGTCCACCCGCCCACACCCACTCACGGTGCCCCACAGCCAGCAAAGCATGGGGTGGGACTGCCCTCCTCACTCTCCCAAGGGTGCTCCTCTGGAAGAAGGGCCTGGTGTCCACCAGCCCCTGTGACAACCACTCGGGGGCAGCGCAGCACTAAACCAGGCCCTGGGCCAAGGCTAAGACTCTGGGTTCTTTCTCTTTCTGTGTGGGACAGGGTCTTACTAGCTGTCCATGTAATAGTGGGCCTCAAAAATATAAAAAGTTATTATAAAAATGCTGTTTCATGACTCATTCCTGTCTATAGGGTAAAAAGCTTGTACTTTGTAAACCTCGCCCTAATAGAAAAATCTGTACTCTGTAAGCAATGACCTTGTAACTGACTGTGTAAGCCCCCCAGCTGTCTGCAGTAAAATTTACTGTACTTGCCTCACCCAAGAAAGAATGCTCCCTGCCTTAGCTGATGCTATCTGCTTCTGTAACCTTGCTTGCTCAAAGATTGTAATCAGTCCCGAGGCCAGGCAGGTGGTCTGAGGCAGGTCCCAGACCCCGCGGCTATAAAATGTACGATGTAACTATTTTTGTTCCACTATGTCATGTTTAATGTCACGTAGCCCCCCCCTCCAAATTAGTATAAAGCCTTCTCACCTTTTCGGCTCTGGACTGCTCTCTGTGCAGCCGTCTGTGGTGGTACAGAGGGTAGTCGCTGGCCAGCTAATAAAGACTCACAATTTGGCTCATTTGGCCTCAAGGTGGTCTTTCTCGCACTCCGTACCATAACATCCAGGCTGGCTTTGAACTCCTGGGCCCAAGCTATCCTCCCACCTCAGCCTCCGGAGTAGCCCGGACCACACGCAGACCACAGACGCGGCCACCACACCCAGCTCTACTTTAGTTTCTTTCTTTTTTTTTTTCCGAGACAGAGTCTCTCTCTGTCACCCTGGCTAGAGTACAGTAGCATCAGCCTAGCTCACTGCAGCCTCAAACTCCTGGGCTCAAGGGATCCTCCTGCCTCAGCCTCCCAGGTAGCTGGGACTACAGGTGCCCCCACTACACCCGGTGAATTCTTTCTTTTTTTAGTACAGACAGGGGGTCTCGCTCTTGCTCAGGCTGGTCTACGTTGGTTTCTAAGTGTGTCAAGTAGGTCCTCTCACCTTTTTCCTTCCACTTTGCCAACACGTAAGTTTCTTAATAACAAACTTAAGAGCCCTTCTCTTGAAGGAAAAGCAGTTGTCACAACTTGTGAGACCCTGCCTAACACAAAGCTCCTGTGAGCCCAGTGGAGCCGTGTCCTGCCGTCTCCCCCAGCCCCCCACTGCCCACTCACCGGGAGTGGCGGTGTCTCCTCCCGCCTCTGGGCCCGGCCGCTCTGCACTTGCTGTCTCTGCCCCCAGCTGGGCAGAAGGAAGGATGTGCTCACTGAGCGTCTCCATGTCTCTCCTCATCTGCGCGACGGCGTTCCGCAGGCTTGCATTCTGCTCTCGTAGCCGCTGGATCTCACTACACGGAAAATCTTTGCTTGTTTCTTCTCCAGGCTGCCTTAGCAGTGTCTGTCAAATACCAAAAACAAACCCAAGAAGCAAAAGGAAAACAGTTTTGGCTACAAAATTCCCTTGCTTGTCTGACAGGCTGCGCCTTTGTCCTCTGTGGCCGCCCCTGCTCCCTGGTCCTCTTGGGCTGCAAGGACCCTCCCGTCCCACCTGCCAGGGGTAAGACTGTGACACTCAAGTCCGCGAAGCGCACCATGTCGTCTAAGTCCCAGAGTCATCGAATCCTAGAATCATAAAGCAGGTGGGAAGTGCTGGGGCGAGGGGGAGGGGAATTGGTGTTTAATGGGGTCAGGGTTTCAGTTTGGGATGATGAGAAAGTTCTGGAGAGGGATGGTGGTGACAGCTGCACAGCCACATGAATGCGCTTAACAAGCCACAGAGCTGCTCACCTAAGAGCAGTTATGACGGCAAATACGTTATGCGCATGTTAGTGTAATGAAAGTGCACCGGCTAGGACGGGCTTGCAAGCAGATCAGATAGTGCAGAGGAAAAGATTCGTGAATGTAAATACATAGTAACAGAAGTATTCAAATTAAAGTACAGAAAGAAGAGACCAAAAGAGGGAAAAAAAACCCCAGATCTTTGGAGACCGGTAGAACAAAAAAAAGAAAAAAAAAACCCAAAAGAGGGAAAAAAAACCCCAGATCTTTGGAGACCGGTAGAACACAAAGCAGTCTGACGTACAGGGAAACAGGAACCCAAAAAACAAGAGGGGCAGAAAAAACCTCTCACAAGATGGCCAAAGACGCTGCAAACTCGACGAACACCATCAATGCACAGGGCTGAGAAGTTCGACGAGCCCTAAGCAAGACAAACACGGAGAGGATCACCCCAGACAGCACACCACCATCGAGTTGCTGAAAATCGGTGACACAGGCAAGTGGCACCAGGCGTCAGCACAGAGCGGGGAGGGCACCAGGCTCCCGAGAGGCGAGCGAGGTAGGAAGATGATGCAGGGACACCGGTCAACATGGGTGAAAAAACAAACCCCGTCCACCCAGATTCCCATCGTCAGCGGAAACGGGGGTGGAGGAGACTTCTGCCTCTGACCAGGAAGATCACCGCTATGAATCTTCCTCTCTGGCTGTGAGTAGTCAGAAAATCAGACAAATCACAAAAACCTGTTTTCAGACGTTGCGGCCGGGACCTGGGATACCTGAGAAGGGAGACGCTGCCACAGCCCCGCGCTGTGCCCGCTTCTCTGTCTCTGCTCCACGAGCCCAGCCGAGACCTGCACAGAGCACCACCCCGCTCTCCTCCAAGGTCCCCGACACCGGCGCCCACCCGACGCAGGGCAGACAGCCACCCTCGGGGCTCCGTGTCCGTGCTCCAACCCCCCACGCCTCAGATGGGACCTACCCAGGACTATGACTCTGTGTGTCACCGGCAACGCCAGTCGGCCTGGGCTCCCGGGGAGGGGTCATCAGTCTCCCTCGAGCAGACGTTAGGTTATCATGCAAACAGTATGGGGACCTCACAAACATGCCCACCGCACGATTACGGCAGCACTGTGGACAATCCAAGTGACCATTAGGGAGAAGACGACGAGGTAAACCACAGTGTGGCTGTATGATTAAATGCGCAACAATTTAGATTATGTTTTTGAAGAATCTTAATGACACAGGAAGGTATTTATGATAGAACTAAAGCGAACAAAAAAACGCCCCAGTGGAACGGTCCTTCGCCCACCCACCATGTCTTGTCCTGGGACTCGCCAAGAACGTCTCACACCCCTCCCCGCTGCGCTGCCTCCGCGGGACAAGCAGAGGCTCTGAGGGGCTCAGCAGGGACCTGCCCCAGCACCAGCGGGGGCTGAGATGGGTTTAAACCTGGGCTCTGCTGAATTTCAAAGACTATTATGCTAAACTACAACTTTTAATTTTTAAACTTTTTTTTTTTACTGTTATTTTAAATTTATTTTTATTTTACTTTTAGAGTCAAGGTCTCACTCTGTCACCCAGGCTGGAGTGCAGTGGTGTCATCACAGCTCACTGCAGCCTCCGACTCCTGGGCTCAGGTGATCCTGCTGCCTCTGCTTCCATCAGTGCTGGGATCACAGGCGTGAGGCACCACACCTGGCCTGAAACTTTTTAAATCTCTGCAATGGCTACGTGTTACTTTCACTTTCAGAAGTAGCTGTCTCTTCGCCTAATCACAGGCGCTGGCTGAGGACTTCCCTCCAGCCCACCTGCCCCCAGCCCACCTGTCTCCTCCGGCCTCCCTGCTCACTGCTTCTCTCCAGCAGGGAGGGGACGTGACTCCTCTGCGGTCCCCCAGCCCTCCCTGTCTCAGCCTGTTGGCACCTCCCCGCTGCGTGCTGTTGCCAGCAGGTGACCAGACTGGTTGCGGCGTGGATGCTGCCACTAGCCTGGCTCTGTTCAATGCTCCCTCCGTCACTTCTGGGCAGATTACCTTCCCTGTGTGTCAAACAGGGCTGACAGCGTGACTCTCACGACAAGTGGTGAAGAGTAAAGCACGGGGTGGCCCTGGGGGCTCTGAGGGCCACAGTTCCGCTGTGCAGTCGCACTGGCCTCCCTGCCCTCCCTCCGGCCGCAGCACAGGTGCCTGCACGCGTGTTGCCGGGGACTGTGAGTGCCAGAGCAATCAACGTGCCCCTGCTCAAGTTCCACGCTGTGAACAGGTGCCACATGGAGTCAGATGAAAATGTCACGGCACAGACACAACACAAACCGTGCCTACACCACGGGACCTGCGACGAGCTCATCACAGGCTTCCCTGAGCAGCTGCTCCTCGCTCCAGCCCAGTCCCAGCAGACCCCGCACTCCTGCCACACGTTTGTCCACAGGGCCCATCTCTGTAAAGCTCAGGCAGCAACCGCTGGTTAGCGACACCTGCACTTTTACCGGGTGGGGCGCGTCCCTTAACCCCTTAATTGTTACTAACTCCCTGTGAAGCAGGGGGTGCAGGTGTTGTGCCCTTATCTGCAGGATTTGATTCAAAATTTCATTCCATTTTGCCAGCCAGAAACTTGCAAACATGCTCCCCACCACCAGTCCTGATCCTGAAGCCACCCCCCAGTCAGAGGCCACACTGACCCGCGTTTGCAGACAGCTTCTGGGTGGCTTCTGTTTCTTCTCTGGGGACCAAGGCAGGCAGAGGACAAGCCATGCTCAGCTTGAGCCCACCACACCCATCGCAGGGGACCCCATGGCCAGGCCCTCGTGCACAGGCTCAAAGGCACAGCTGGCTGGTTCTCCGTGCCATGCGGTGCAGACTACTCCGACCCCACCCCACTACTGAAGATCACTGTTGACTTAACAGAGAAACCAGCCAACAGATGGGCCCCAAGTCCTGCCCAGCTAGTACCTGGAGACAAACCAGCCTGGAAGGAAAACACAACAAAGAAAAACCTGGAGTGGGGTGGAGGTCTCCTGTGTGACAGTGGTAGTGGGAGGCTCTCCCACGTGGCCAGCGGCAAGACCACCTGCTGACACCCCCAGGGCGCTGTGGGGTGAGGGGAAGGGGTGCAGTGGGGAGGCATGGCTGGCCCCTGCAGCCTTCCACACCCAGGGCCCAAGGCTGACCAGTGCCCTGGCGTGTCCTAGGAGCTGCTTTTCAGACCAGCAGAGTCCCGGGGCTCCCTCCCTCATGGGTCTGAGCAGGCCCAGGGTGCGCTGTCCACAAGCTCCAGCACGAGGGATTCTGAGCTGGCCAGGTCTGGGGACTCCGCAGGGCAACATGTTTGCCCACAGAGGACAAGAGTGGCTTCCTGGTGCAGTTGGATACCACCTTCCACTTCTCGGCTCCCAGCACTCCTCAGCCCGCCTTCCACGCTGGGAGGACAACAAGCGTCGGCATGTGCTCGAGAAGCACAGCCAAGCGCCACCCGTAGTGGTCACACGCGGCGCCTGCACCGTCCTTCCCAGAGGCCGACAGCTGGGCAGCAGGGCTGGCACCAGCCAGGAGGGTCCCCCAGGGGAGTTCAGCGGCTCCACCTCCACAGACAGCCGGGAGAGCGACTTTCCGTAAGGGACAGACGTCAGACTACTGGAAAAACTAACGGGCCCACAATCGTCTTTCTGCCTTCACGACCTAAGACAGGGTCAGCTGGGGCTCAGCTCCTGTGGCCCAGGGCAAACGATAGGTGACGTGGCTTCCCTAAGGAGTCCGGAAGGACCAGGGGGACCGAGGCAGGACACGGGATGCGCTGGGGTTCATGTGGTGCCAAACTCTGGCACGAGCCACAGGGTCATCTTCAGGTGGAAGTGACTTCACCTCCGAGCCTCGTTCCAGAAGCAGATCTGTGATGAGACCTGGCCTGGCCTTCGGCAGGTGGCGTCTGTGTGCGTTTCCGCAGTGACCGCAACAAATTACCAAAAATGGTGGCTTAAAACAACAGGACTTTGTTCTCTCAGTTCTGAAGGCAGAAGCCTGAAGTCAGGCATGGGCGGGCCCACATCCACCCGAAGGCTCTGGGGAAGGGTCTTCCCTGGTCTCCCCCAGCTCCGGGTGGTGCCGCGGCCCCTGGCCTTCCCTGGCTCCCAACCCCTCGCTGCTGTCCTGCCCTCCTCCTGTAAGGACACCAGACACTGGCTCTGGGCCCACCCTACTCCGGTGTGACCTCAACTAGTCACATCCGTGCAACTAGTCACATCCGTACAACTAGTCACATCCCCACAACCAAGGAGACCACACTCTGAGGTTCTGGGGTCAGGACTCAAACCCATCTTTCTGGGAGACACATCTCATGCCAGCATCAGGTGTAGACGCCTATCGTGCCAGGGAGGAAGTTCTTGTAGAGGGAAACATGATCACCGCGTGACCCAGGACTCGGCCACTGTGCACAAAGATGTAAGTCTTTGGGACAAAGTTCCAAACTCATGTCTCTCTGTACTACTGGGGAGACCAGCTTCAGTGATCAGGAGGTCCCAGTGATTGCGCCCTGAGACTTCACTCCAGATGTTTCTAGCACACTGAGTGTCCCAAATCAGCATCACAAACCAAAGAAGGCCAGACTCAGTGGGAGGCTGAGGCAGAGGATGGCTTGAGGCCAGGAGTTCAAGACCAGCCGGAGCAAGAGCGAGACCCCCGTCTCTACAAAAAATGGAAAAATCAGCCAGGCGTGGTGGGGGCACCTGCAGTCCCAGGTACTCGGGAGGCTGAGGCAGGAGGATCGCTTGAGCCCGGGAGTTCGTTCAAGGCTGCACTGAGCTGCGATAACACCACTGCACTCCAGCCTGGGTGACAGAGTGAGACCCTGTCTCTAAACAAACAAAAAAAACCAATGAAGCCAACAGGATAGGAAGCCTTATTTCAAATCCCACAAACAAGTAAGTTATCTGGCTTCACGGCCAGTGACAATGTGCTGGGGGCCGAGAGTTCTCTCCCTGCCAGTCCCGTTGCCCGGCCTCAGGCGCCTGCCCACTCAGCCTGTCCTCCACAGGCCTGTGGCACCTGCCCAGCCGTCCCTGTGTCGTGACGACTGTCATGCCTGACCAAGACAGGAGCGCAGCGTGTGCTCCGACTTTGTGCGCTAGAACTGAACATTCTCCAGAGAAGAAACAGAGTTTCTGGCCCTATACACTTCTTAAGGGACAGGTGCTGAATACAAGTAAATGAATAAATGACAAGTTACAAACATTCTTAACTGTAGTTAGTGTGTGGGTCTCACACACAGGAGGCCACTTCAGCACTCTTGGAGGAAACCCTGCCCATCTGGGTCCTCCACAAGACAAACCCTGGGCAGAAAAGCTAGTGGACGAGGAGAGAAAGTGGGACAGCGGCTGCCTTGGGCTGGGAGAAGTCAGCAGGGCGGGGCACGGGCATCTCTTGTGGGCGCTGGACACGCTCCACACCTTGTTAGAGGGGTGGGCGGCACGGGGCACTTGCCTGCCTAACTCACTGACCTGTACACTTAACATGTGTGTGTCTCGCTGTGTGTAAACACACCCTGTAGAAAAGAAATGCCACTTGCAGGTTGGGGACAGCCCTCCCTTGTCAGGCCCCTCCTCTATCTCTCAGCCTCGTGCCGTCCCGGCCCCGCAGACCCCTACCCCGCCCCCTCTGCTGTGGACGCGGCTCTGCCCTGATGAGCCGAGACAGCGCAGGCACATCTCTCTGCGTCCGGCGTCTCATGCACACGGCACCAACCTCCAAGACGAAGTGAGCTGGCAGGGTCTCGGGGCAGACCCTGGCACAGGCCAAGCACTCAACTGCAAAACAAACAAAATCAGCGGCTGCGCTGACAGGTCCACGCACAGAACGCCCTGCTGTGGCCGTGCTGAGATGAACGCCACACCAGTGATCTCACATTAATGTCTGGCGTCTGAAAGCATTTGGAACTGGGATTTTCAGAGCTGTCAAATGCGAGAGATGCAAGGAAGATCCTGCTATGTATTCATTTTAACTCTTTAAAGCTTCAGACTTCATGCGAATGTGCAGCCAGTCATTCAAAACGGAGCATGACTGAAAGACCTGGTGCCACTGTGGGCGGGACGTGGCGCTCTTCCTCACTGTGCCGGGAGCGAAGGGCCGGCAGGGAGGCTCAGGGAGGAGCGGGGTGTCAGACGGCGCGCTCACCTGTGCCCCGGGCACGGGAAGCCCGTGTGTCCTCAGTGCCTGCACGGCCTGGTTGCGCTCCAAGGTCACAGCCTTCAGCGCCACCTCCTGCTCCTGCAGCGCCCGCTCTGCCTCCTGCAGCTTGGCGGCCACCTGGGAAAACACTCAGACTCAGGGTGTCTGTAGGTTACCGGGCAGTGCCAGCCTCACGGCAGAGAGACCAGCTCCCCCCCCTGCTTAGCAAGCAGACAGCAGACACAGGTGAGGAATGCCAGGAGAACCAGGGGCCACGTGACACACAGAGCTCGGAGTGTCCCCGCAGCGGCCAGCAGCAAAACTCTTCCTGCCCAGCACCCCGGGCTGCCCTCGCAGGGCCAGCACCACGGGGAGGAAGGGTTGCCCGGCACCACCAGAAACACGCTGCCGCTCAGCTGGAGAAACAGCACACGCAGCAAAGCTCTGCAAAGGAGGGAGACAGGGCAGCAGCGTATTGTCATCACTGCAATTTTTGTTGCTATAAATCAAACTGCTTTGTGAGGTTTAGTGTTTTCAAGTTAGGGAAGGATTTGGTGAGAGCCCAGTCCCCCCCCACCGCGGAGAAGGACTGGGAAGGCCCTGGTGACGCCGCGGCCACACACACCTGGTCTCTTGCCGAGGTCAGACCCTGGATCAAAGCCTCTGACTTCTGGATCTGGTCCCTTTCCACGTCGTCACAGCGGCGCTGCCAGTCCAGGCCCAGCTGCACCTGCTCACGCTGCAGGCTCTGCTCCCTCTCGACGGCCAGGGACAGCTGCTGTCTGTACCTGCGGACACACCCACGCCGCTCAGCATCGCTGTCTCCCGAGGTCCCTCCGACTGCACAGCGGGCTGCGGAGGGCCACGCAGAGCTGCAGCGTGCCCTCCTGGTCTCAGGGACAGGCTGGCCCAGGACAGACACTTGGGATGGCCCGGAAGAGAAGCGAGCAGATGTCAAAGTTTGCCAGATGCTGCCGAAGGCCTGACACCATCAAAGAGGGTGATCACACTCAGAAAGAAGAACAGATATGTAAGAAGAGAGGGAATAAAGCCAACAAGCGTTAAAAATATAAGAAAAATTGTTACAGAAATTTGAGAAGATTTTCAGCTTTGAAAAGCAAACAACTAGAGCAGCACAGACAGAGCTAAAGAGCCAAGGGTGAGCAGGAAGAGCAAAAGGGAGAGAACCTTCCAGACCATAGTGCAAAGGGACAAAGGAACAGGGAGAAGTCAGGAAGAGCAAAAGGGAGAGAACCTTCCAGACCATAGTGCAAAGGGACAAAGGAACAGAGAGAAGTCAGGAGGACGAGAGGTTCAATTCCGTCTTATAGCAGGTCTGACAGATCAGAGTGGAGGGAGACGTCGTCAAGGAAGGAGGAGCAAACCCGCCAGGCTGGAACAAGAGCTGGGTCTTCAGCTTCAAAGACTCACACAGATGCTGCCAGGGCAGACTGCAGACTACTGAGGACAAGGACGAAGGCAGAAAGGTTTTCCAGAGAGCGACAAAAAGAACGAGAAGTGCGCTGGCATTAGGCTTCTTGCCAGCAAGGCCGGGGCTGGGAGGCAACAGGCCACGTGTGGGGACAGAAGTCTCGGCCTCAAGATCCCCACCCCTGAGCGTGGGCCCCGCCCATCCCAGGTGTGACACAGTGATGTGGCGCCATATGAGACTAGATGGAGATCCCCTGCTGTGAGCGAGTCCCTGGACCTGAGGGTGCCTTGGCGCTGAGAGAGACCCCGGCCGGCAGCCAGCAAGGAAAAGGAGACCTCAGCCCCACAGGTGCAGGAACTGAATCCTGCCGACAGGGACGGGAGCCTCAGAGCAGAGGGCAGGCCTGGCCACACGCTCACTCTGTCTAGAGAGCGCCAGGCCCAGACCACGGGCCAAGAAACCAAAATGATAAATGGGTGTTGTTTGAAGCGGCTAAGTTCCTGGTAATCTGTTGCAGAGAAATAACAAAGTAACATACAATGGTTTTAAAATCCAGAAGGGAAATGGTCTGGAACAGGGGTGGAGATCCTGGGCCTTAAGGCTACATGTGGCCTTTTAAAATTGCAACTTTGCAAGAAGTTGTAAGTACATTCACGCAAGTACAACACAGCATCGTCAGTTTCCTTCCTCTAAAGTTGAATGAGACATTCCGTGTGGATTTGCCATATTCTAAAGTGTGTTGGCCATCGCAGGGACAGGTATTAGCCAAAATTTTACCTCGGTGAGAGCAGATAGTTAAATTTTATGAAGAACAGAATCAGCAATGTGAATTATTGAAAGAAGATTTCTACAAGAATGCAGCATTTCTGTGTGATATCATGTCAAATCAAAACAACCGGAATATTTCTTTGCAAGGTAAAACTAAGTGTATATATGATAAGTGGCAAAAAATCGAAGCATTTTGAAAAAAGCTGCCTTTTTCAAAACACTTCTTAAAAAGGAAATTTCAGATTAACATTTTCCCCAGTTAGCAAAGGTCACTGATGAGCAGGATGATACATGCGAATCATGTGAAGAATATGCAGCTGTTAATACCTATTAATTGGAGAATACAATGAACGGTTCGCTGACTTTGAGCATCACGACATCACACTCAAATTAGCTTTTCAGCCTCACCTAGCTGATATCACCAAGGCACCTAAAGAACTTCAGACGGAATTGATTGAGCTCTCAGTAGATGACATGTTAAAGTCATTATTGATGCTAAGAAAGATCCAACTGAAATAAGGAAAAATGCAGTAGAATATCCACACCTTGAGCAACATGTCCAAAAAATGCTTTCTTGCTTTTCGACTACATATTGCTGTGAATCTACATTCTCTCAACTGAAACTGCCGACCTCCAGGCTGCAACCAAACATTCAAATGCCTTCCAACTAAAAGCAGACACAACAAAGTCATTAAAAGGTTAGTTAACTTTAAAATTAACAAATGGTTTTCATTTTTTGAAAGTATATAGTAGTTAGATTTTTACAAAATAATGTACATTTTTCAGTATATCTAACTGAAGTTTCTTGAATGTGGCCTTATTGGATTGCAGCTAAATTAATGAGGCCTCCAACACAAAAAGGTCTCCCACCCGTGGTTTGTAATCTTGTAACTAAACCCAGTTAAATTACCATTTGCACCAGAAGGCAAAAGTAAAGACATTTTAAGAAAGGCAAGCCTCCAAGTTCATTGCCTATCGATCTCTCCTGAAAAGAAATGGCCCAAGGGTGCAATGGAACAGGGCTTCTCAACCTTGGGGAAGGGCCAGTTAACTCGTTTTTTAAATTTCCACGCCACTGAGGACCGACACTGAGTAAAGTGCTCCTGCAACAGAGGAGATGGCCTGGAGAAATGGCAAAAATACTTCTGTCTCTAAAGCCATATCCCGGCCTCAGGCCAGTGGCCGGGGGGCAGGGCAGGAGATGGCCCAGCCCGACCTGGTAAAGGGAGATCCTGGGCGGAGGAGGTCACGAGATTGTCTTCAGCAGAGATGGGGTGATCAGAATTATCAACTGTAACTGCCTGAAGCTGAGAACCCATCCTTTAAAAGCTCTGTATTTCTGCGAATGTTCAGGAAATTTGGGTTTTTTAGGATGAGAAGGTCTGCCATTTTTCCTCCTTTGCTGGCAAAGTAGACTCTCTCTTTCCTTCCTCCTCAAACTGCTTGTCCTCGTTATTTGGCCTCGTGGACAAGTGCCGAGTTTTTGGTAACACTACCAAATGTCACTGCACTACTCGATGCTACCACGGTCCCTGAACAGCCGTCTCTCTCTCTGATCTTGTCCGCAGAGCAACAGGTCCACAGACCCACTTTGAGTGGCACTGTTGCAGAGAGCTCGGAGCCCCAAAGGCTGATTCTGAGGAGGAGGAAAGTGGGGATGCCATGTGGGGGTGCGGGGGTGGGAGGACCACATGCCCAGACCAGAGAGCTGGGACTGCCATTTGCAGACCACGTGCCCCAGCATCAGGAACAGGCCCTGCTCTTGAGTGTACAAGAAATATTTAATAGAAGCTACTGTCAGAGAGAAATTGCATTGGTTAATTTAAGCCACTGGCTTTTTTTGTTTGTTTTGTTTTTTTGAGACAGAGTCTCACTCTGTTGCCCCAGGCTAGAGTGCTGTGGTGTCAGCCTAGCTCACAGCAACCTCCAACTCCTGGGGTCAAGCAATTCTCCTTCCTAAACCTCCCAAGAAGGTGGGACTACAGGCATGTGCCACGATGCCTGGCTAATTTTTTCTATTTTTAGTAGAGACGGGGGTCTCGCTTTTGCTCAGGCTGGTCTCGAGCTCCTGACCTCAAGAGATCCTCCTACCTTGGCCTCCCAGAGTACTGGGATTACAGGAATGAGCCACTGTGCCCAGCCTAACCAATGGTTTTAAAACAAAGTAAACCTCCATCACTGACATTCAGAAAGTACTGGTTCAGCCCTCACACTGCCTCCGCCGGCCTGGGAACAAGCCCCTCCTGCACAGGACCCTCCAGCTGTGCTTTCTTCCAGCTCCTCCCGTGGCTGGCCCTGAGTCCATTTGTGACCCTAAATGACCGTGTTCATTTTAGGCAGCACTGACATGTACCCCATTCACAATGAGAGAAGGACGGGCAGGATGAGTCGTCACCGCGTCTAGCACCAGCCACCCGCATACTCGCTGGCATCTGAAGCTGGGGCGGCAGGAGGAGGGAAGGGTGGTCTGAACGTAGTCAGCAGTGACAGAAGTAGATCTGACACCATCACACACAGTTTTTAATCCTCGTAACTACAAAATATAAATCAATCTTTAAAACATCGCTTGGTGGCTATGACACCAGGCTTGTCTTCCCATTTTAAACAACTAGGACAAAAATATGAAGCAGCTTTCACTTGCTAAACAGGCAGGCAGCACCGTGGTCCCTCAGAAGGGACCTCACAGGATGAACCAGACTGCTGTCCGGCTTTCCCTCTGGAGCACCTTCTAGATCCCGCGGGGTGGGTGGGGGGCCACGAATCCAAGCAGGGCACAGTGGCCTAGTGCACTGAGGAAGAAGACGAGGGTCAGAGTCGAGGGAAGCCGAGGTGGCGAAGGGGACTTCACAAGGCAGAGCACCGTCGCGGAGGCAGCTCCTGAAAGCTGCCCGGGGCTCCCCTGGGAACCGTGGCTGACGACTGCGCTGCAGACGCACTGGGGACCAGCGGAGGCTGGGACAGAGCAGCCGGCAGGGAGCTCCACACTCACCAAGTCCCAGAGCTCGCCAGGGCAGCCAGGCGGGAGGGTGCTCAGGGGAGAGCCTGTAATAGGGCTGGCCTCTCTAGACGCGCCCATCAGAGATTTAAAACCAGTCTCAAGAGGATCAAGCTCCTGTGCAGGTACTTAACTGCAGCCAAACAAAGCAAACGCTTGTTCAAGGAAGACAACAGAACCAGACACTCACCAACATAGTATTTATTCACTATCGGTCTGACAACCGATAAAAACTTACTAGGTGTGCAAGGAAACAGGAACAATGTGGCCTGTATCCAGCAGAAAAATGAGAATACAAACAGACCCAGACATAGAGACACACTGGAATTAGTAAGTTAGTACAAAAATACTTTACAACAGTTATTATGAATATGTTCAGAGATGTAAAGGCAACCATGCAAATAATGACAGAAATAAACGATATAAAAAAGACTAAATGGACTGTTAAGAGCTGAAAAATAAAACGTGTGAAGTAAAACATCTACCAGACTTAACAGCAGTTAGACACTGTGGAAAGAGGAATGATCTGGACAGAAGCACAAAGAGAAAAAGACTGAACATGACACACACAGCCGCAGGGACCTGGTGGGACCCACGCCAGCCGGCACTCGCGCACCTGGAGTCCAGGAGCAGGGGACGCCGGACTCACACAGGACCCCACGATGGTGCGCAGCAGTCGGTTTCTACAGATCAGTGACAAAAAGGAAAGTGTAAAACCAGAGAGAAACGGCTTATTATGTACAGAGGCACAAAGAACGGCCAAAGCTCCCTCACAAGACGGCAACAAAATACCTTTACCACGCAGAAGGAAAAAGCTCTCCACCTAGAATTTTTCATCCAGTGAAGATGCTCCTCAGAAAGATTAGGTGAGAGAGTTTCAGACCCACGGAAGCTGAGATGCCGCACGAGCTGCAGATCTGCATCACAGGAAACCCGAAAGGGACGTGTGAGGGCTGAAGAAAGGTGATTCCACGTGGAAACTTCAAATTTGATTTTTAAAAGTGAAGAGAATCAGAAATAAATATTGGAAAAAGTATAAAATTTTTTTCTCATTTTTAAGTTATTATAAATGATAGTTGTCTGATCAAAGCAAAAATAACTCCCCCTACACATGTGAAATATAAGAAAATGGTAAAAAAGAAGAAAAGGCAGAAATAGAAGGTTGTACCTTGCGTGGGGTCACAAATTGAGGTTGAATTGAAGGGTTTTGCACTATACATGAAGTGATGAACGTTATTTACAGGCAGAGACTGTGGATCTAGGCCAGGCGCAGCGGCTCGCGCCTGCGATCCAGCACTTTGGGAGGCAGAGGCAGGAGGATCGCTTGAGCCCAGGAGTTGGAGGCTGCAGTGAGCTATGATGACACCACCGCGCTATACCCGGGGCAACAGAGTGAGACTCTGTCTCAAAAAAAACCAATAAACAAACAAACAAAAAAAACCCCCAAACAATTAGATGAAATGGAAAAACTCAATGAAAGACACAAATTACCAAAACTGACACAGAAAAAATAGAAAAACAGAAAATCTGAAATAAACTGCTGTATCTTCAAACAATAGAATACTACTGAACAATAAAAAGGAACAACCTATTGCTACCTGCAATGTGCATGGATCTCGAAATTATCATGTTAAGCCAAAGAAGCCAGACACACACGAGAACACCGTATGATTGCACTCAGATGAGATTCGGGAACAGACAAGCTCACCTGCAGTGACAGAAGTGCGTGGTGGGGGCTGGACCAGCCAACTGCAGGGCATGAGGAGAGGGTGGGGTGACGGAGAGGCTCAAAGTCTCGCCTGGAGTGGCGGTTACGCAGGTGCAGAGTTGCGACATGTACCTCATTTAAATATTTACATTATTGTCCAATAAAGTTGATTTTAATATACATGGGAAATACACCATGATCTTCACTCAAGTAAGTGTCCTTTCCAGCCGATAAGAAAAAACACTAAGAGATTAACGATCAGACAGAAGACAGGGGCGACTCTTCACACAGCATCCAAAGCACGGACACTTCACGGCTCTCGTCGCAGACTGAAGGAGGCCGTCCCCCTGAAAGGCCCCTAACCCCGCACCTGTGCCCCATCCACTACCTCCTCACACGCCCTTTGCACAGCCACATGTCCCACTTCTATTCACTCCTTCCCTGTCTTTCTCCCCCAAAAGGACGTGAGGTCGGGGACTTGATTTGCTCAGTTTTGAATCCTTAGCACCGAGAGCAGCACCTGAGCAGGGACACCCACCTGTCGATGTCCTGCTGAAACGCAGCCAGCTGTGCCTTGAGCCTCGCCTCTGCCTGCTGCAGCGCCTGAACCTGAAGGTCTCTGGAGATCATCTCCTTGGACACCTGAGCGATCTGGGCATCCCAGGCAGATTTGAGGGCTGATGCATCTTCACGAAGTCTAAACAAAAAGGAAACCGTGAATGGGGACGTGGTTCTCGCTCACTCAGGTTGTCTCCTACACAGCTCCCCCCACAAAAACACACACACGCGCCCAGTCCCCCCAGGAAATGCCATGTCAGAGCTGAAACTTCCTTGCCTAGATTAAGGAGATGGTGCTAGCCAAGAAGAAATAGCCACTCCTCCTCCCCTCCCTGCCACCCATCCAGCCATCCCTCCCGTCATGCATCCTACCCACCCAGACATTGACTAAACACCTACGGCATGCCAGGTGACGTGCCAGGTGCTCAGGGTACGAAGGTGAGCCATGGGGCGCCTGCCACGCCTCACAGAGCCCCCAGTCCTGAGGCAAGGCCACCTCTGACCAACCCATCTTCACGTCTTTGCCATGCTGAGCATGGCACCTCATACATGGAGACACTTAACACATGCTTGTCAAATTGAATAGTAAAATAAGGTTCTAGAGAAACCGTTCAATAACCTTAACAGTAAAATGCCTCTGGTAGGATTTCCCAAAATTGGATAACTTTCCCAAGAAAGACATTTAGAGAAGACACCTAGGCACACTGACCAGGGCAGCCACGGCACTGACCCCAGCCAGATGACACCTGCCCACGCACTCGGTGGTGGCCCTGTGTCGCAGTGACAGCCTGAATGGCTCCACCAAGCTCGCACGACAGTGATGACAGCATCACATGGAACAGGCCTTTCCGACGCTTCTGCGCTGACGGACTCTCAGGAGCGGAGGGCGAGCCTGCTGCCCCACAGAGGCCGCTCTGGCCGTGAAGGTCAGTCAAACCTGGCATGGGTGTATGTTAAGCCTGGTCTCTTACGGGATGGAAAGAAAGCCTCCATGCCCACTTCTTCGGACACGTTTTTTAGGAGGGCTAAAAGAAGGAGCTATCAAAGGCTTTGTCATGTCCCGTCTCCTCTGGAAGTTTGGCCTGACACAGACATGTGCGTGTTACATTGGCTCCTTCCATGCTATTAACAGTGTTTGCTGTTGAAGAAACAGACTTGGCAACAGCCTCCGGGTGCTCTGGGCAACAGCGTCACCTCCAGACCAAGAGCCACCCAAGAACGTGCTGGCTCCCTCCCTGCACAGGCCAGAGGTCGTCCTGACCTCCCCCAGGCACGGCTGCCGAGCTCTCGCGCAGACACGGAAGGACATGGGCAGCCCAGGTGGGAACAGACGGGCCACCACAAAAAATCATACGCTTTTACCGTCACACATCCTACAGGTGTTCTCTGTAGCTTCAAACTCCACACTGGCACGGAACTGCTAAAACACTAAAAACTACCAGGAACTGCGAGGTCATCATTTAACGTGAACTCACGCTCAGGACAGTGAGGTCGGATGACACCTGAAATCCCCAGATGTAAAGGAGGAAAGAAGTAAGCTTCTGAGTCTCTAAATCTATTTTCTGTTACCAAAATAATACCCTGTATGTTTAACAATCCCCAATGAGCAAGAAATGTTAATATTTATAGACAGAAAACTAAAGGACATTGAAGAACAACATTGAGTTTAAGGCTCCAGGGTCAGCGAGGCACTGTCGCTTCAGCTGCATTATCAGCGGAGCGGAGACGCGCCAGGGTCTCTAGGGCCTCCCAGGACGTTGACAGCACGGGCTGTGGGCGCTCACACGCGCGCTGCACTCAGCTGCCTTCGCTTCCCAGCTACTGTTGCTCAATTTAATTGGTCAAACTACAAAACGACAAGCTAAATCCAAGGAAACCATTCCGAATAAGCCTTTCATCTGCTGGTATCTTACAGTTCTAAGAGTCATTTCCTCCCAAATAGAAACATGATTTTGCAGAGAATTCCCTAAAAAACAGGGAAAGATATTTCCCAAAGGGACACAGCCAGTCGCTAAGCATGGAAACCACTAGCCAATGACTTATGTCTTTGGTAAATGCAACTTCCCCAAGATTCCCGCCTCACTGGGGCTCCAGGGATGCAGTTTAATGCTAACCACGCCACTGCCGTTACGACGGTCAGACTTGCGTGCATCTCTCACCGAACGCCAGGCACAAGTGGAACGGAGTTGCTTATCTGGCCTGGCCTGTCTTAGATGCCAGAAAGGAAACTGGGTTTAAAAAGAAACGAGTTGACGGAGTAATTGGAACACTCCCGAGTACTGCTGGGGGCATGTGACGCAGGGCAGCTACAGGAAGCGGAAGAGCAGCTCCTCAGACAGCTGCGCACAGACTTCTACGACCCAGCGGCTCCCCTTCCGGGCACACACACAAGAGCCGAAAGCAGGATCTCAAAGAGACATCTGTACATCGACGTTCACAGCAGTGTCATTCATGAGATAAAAAGGCGGGAACAATCTACATGTCAACGAATGGATGGACAGACAAACAAATGCTGTCCATCTGGACAATGGGATATTATTGAACCTTAAAAAGGAAAAAAATTCTGACTTAAAAACACTGAACTGTATACTTCAAAATGGTTAAGATGTGGCCGGGTGCGGTGGCTCACGCCTATAATCCTAGCACTCTGGGAGGCCGAGGCGGGCGGATCGTTTGAGCTCAGGAGTTCGAGACCAGCCTGAGGAAGAGCAAGACCCCGTCTCTACTAAAAAAAAATAGAAAGAAATTGGCTGGACAACTAAAAATATACAGAAAAAATTAGCCGGGCATGGTGGCGCATGCCTGTAGTCCCAGCTACTCGGGAGGCTGAGGCAGGAGGATCACTTGAGCCCAGGAGTGTGAGGTTGCTGTGAGCTAGGATGACGCCACGGCACTCTAGCCCGGGCAACAGAGTGAGACTCCGTCTCATAAAAAAAAAAAAAAAAAAAAGGTTAAGATGGTAAAATTTATGTTATATGTATTTTACCACAATAAAAAAAATTGAAAAAAAAAGGGAATGAAATTCTGACATATGCTATCACGTGGCTGAACCCTGAAGGCCTTGTGCTCGGTGAAACGACCCAGGCTCAAAAGGACAAACACTGTCGAGCCCAACTCGCAGGAGGTCCCCAGAGGAGTCAGATTCATGGAGACAGAAGTAGAATGGAGGGTGTGGGGCTGGGGAGGGGAAGTGGGCTGTTGGTTCACGGGGACAGAGCTTCGGTTTGGGAAGACGGAAAGTTCTGGAGATGGATGTGGTGACGGCTGCACAACCATGTGGATGTGCTTAATGCCACTGACCTGTGCACTAAAAAATGGTTAAAATGGTAAGTTTTATGTTATGTGTATTTTACCACAAATAAATAAATGCACGCATACACACAAACTACACAATTTCAAAAAAAGAAAAGAAAGAAAAGAATCGTTAAGAAAAATGACCATAAAGCTAAGAAGACCCCCTGCCCGCCAGACACTCATTCCCTTGCCGGCTCTCTGGGTGGAGCAGGCGCCTGCTCACCTGTCGATGACGGCGTCCTTCTCCTTGCCGGCATCCGCCTGCCTCCACTCGGCCCTGCGGAGCTGCACCTCCAGGCTCTCGCAGTGGGCCTGCAGCTCCAGAACCCTGGTCTCCAGCGCCTGCAGCTGCTCCCCGTGGGCTCCCTTCACCGCTGCCAGCACCACGTCCCTCTCCCTGGCCAATCGGTCGAGCTCCTCATGCCTAAAACACAGAGAGGGGTGCCCTAGCAGTTCCCCGGCCCCAGACTTCCAGATCGCCCTTTCTTGTGCTGCAGCGGTTACTGTGCATCTGTCCTCAGCTGGGTCACCTAATTCTGCAGGGCAGGCTCTTTGCTCATCACTCCTCACAGGTAAACACAGACTGAGCCATTCTTAGACGCCAGGCCTGGCCTGCCCCCCAGAACTCACAGCCCCGAGAAGACAGACAGGAAAAGCAGGTACGTTAGCACAATCTGAACACCACCACTCAGACTCCTAATCAACCCCTGAAAGCAAAAACGCAGATGCTCCCTGCCTTGCATCTTGGTGCAGTCAGGTCTCCCAGTGCTGGGACTGCTGTATGAAGTGTGTACTCAGCACATTAGCTCTGAATTGCCTCAACCTGGCCTGCTTTTGTAAATCACCTGGCAAAGCATGTTCCGTAACTCTCAGTGTCTTCATGATGTCGTCCAGACACACACAATCACGCTTATCTGGAGCGAGACTCTCGCAGAGCAAGCCCGACTGGACTGCTGGTTCCACAGTGTGGACAGGCTCTGCCACTGAGGGGATCTGGGGACACAGTCCTTGTGCTGGAACTCAATCTGCAGGGAAAACCGCAAAGCTCTTGACCGGACACAAGCACTGCATTTTATTTTTTATTTTTTGTAGAGATGGGGTCTCGCCACATTGCCCAGGCTGGCCTAGAGCTCCTGGCCTCGAGCGCCTGCCCCTGCTCTCCCTGAGCTGCAGGAGCTCACTCCAGCATCAGCTGGCAGGGGTCTGGAAACCACTCCTGAGGGGGGCTTGCCAGGTGGTCTTCGGCATGCAGCTCAGAGGGAGCGCAGAGCACGAGATGCTGCCCGGGAGTCACTCCGCTCCTGTCTGGTCACGCGTGTGAGAGGCAGACTCTGTGAATGGACGTGAGGGAAGCCCCGCTTGTGTCAGCAGGAGGGCTGTTCCCAAGAATACTTTACGTCTTACTTAGTAATTACTGAACTTTATAGCACATGATACTGTTTTGCAAAGTGCATATTAATAATCATCATAGTTATCTTTAGAAAAATTTCTGAACATGTACAGTCTTGTGAACCTAGTAAATTTATTATTTTTAGATTATATAAATATATTGTTATAGGTGATTGATTTCAAATTTTTTCAAGCACAAAAAATACATTAATTTAAAATTCTGTGGGGCTGTGGACTGGAAATACAGAGTCCAGGAGGAAAAGGAACAGTGTAAACCTCCTACTGCTAGGGAAGAGCAGGCTCAAAGAGGTTTTCTGGTAGAGCTGGAGGCTCGCTATGTCACCCAGGCTGGTCTCAAACCCCACCATGCCCGGCCAGGCACTGTTTTGAATCAGTGATAGTGGGCATTAAATTGCTATGGTATTTAGATCACATTAGAGACATTTTAAAGAGTCATTGAACAGTGTTATTTGTTAATGCTAGAAATCACACTCATTTTCAACTAACTATAGCTGACCCTTGAACAACACAGGCTTGAACTGTGAGGGTCCATATACGTGTGAATTTTGTCAGTAAATATATTGGAAAATTTTTTGGAGATTCATGACAATTTGAAAAAATTCACAAACTGCATAGCCTAAAAATATCAAAAAAATTAAGAAAAAGGTATCGTGAATGCATAAAATATATGCAGATACTACTAGGCTGTATTATCATTTACTACCATAAAATATACACAAATCTACTATTTAAAGTTAAAATTTATCAAAACATAGACACACAAACATTTACAGACCACACATGGCACCATCCACAGCCAAGAGAAACGTAAACAAAGACGCCACAATAAATCATAACGCAGCATTAACTTCAGCACATGCGCTGTCATCACTGTAATCACGTCACAGCCCCTCCTGGAGCTGCTGTGGTGAGCTCTCATGTTGCAAGGACCCGCTCACAACACGGTGTGGTGTGACACGCATCACCTCCCAGTGCCAGTTCATCTTTCCAGTAAACTGCAGATCATGGCAAAAAGTGATCTCCTGGCTGGGTGTGGTGGCTCACGCCCGTGATCCCAGCACTTTGGGAGGCCAAGAAGGGAGGATTGCTTGAGCCCAGAAGTTCAAGACCAGTCTGGGCAACATAGTGAAACCCCATTCTACAAAAATTAAAAAAGAAAAGAAAATCATTAAGGAGAAAAGATACTTGCCTGAACAGGCTTTTAATGCAGACTGAAGTGCCCTATTCTGGAAAAAGAAAGCCGCACAGGACATTGACTAGGGAGGAAGAGAAGTGACACCAGGGTTCGAGGCAGGAAGGGACAGGCCCACTCCATGGTTTTGTGCCGGTGTGGCCAAGGGCACGATCAGGACGCCCTCACCTACACAGCGGCCAAGCCTGAGCCCTGAAGGGAAAGATGAACGCCAGCTGCCAGTCTTGTGGCTGTGCCCCACAGCCGGGATAACGAGAACCCTCTTTCCAGGCTGGTTCCATAGACGCTTTGTCCTCGAGTGAGGAAATACCCTGCCAGTAAAGGACGGACTTCTGCAGTTCTTTTGACATCGGATGATGCCCCAGCCACCCAGACCCCACGCCTTCAACATCGAAGGCATCGAAGTGGTCTGTTTGTCCCCAAACACAAAGCTCTAGGGGGTCCTGAGGACCTTCAAGGCGCATTACACACGGTAGGTACTCTGTGGAAAGGACAGTCAACGCTGTGGAGGGAACCCCTTCCGCCCCTGTGGAAGAACATCGTGACAGCCTGGGAGGATTCCATAGTGGAAGACGCTCCCATCACTACAGAAAAAGCCGTGAAAGCCATTGCGTCTGAAACAATGAATTCCTGCTGCGCAAATCGTGTCCAGATGCTGTGCACGACTGCACGGAATGTGCGGCAGAGCCAACGGAGGAGGTCGTGGAAGAGACTGTGGATGCGGCAAGAAAGGCAGAGGGTGAGGGTTCCGAGACAAGGAGCTTGGAGCAATTCAAGAGCCAACAGATGCCACACCAGGGGAAGTCACAGAAGGTGACCTGGCGGAGACGAGTGTTTCTGAACCAGTGCCAGCCGACAAGGAAGAAGATAAGGAAGAAGCAGAGCCACAAACAAGTGACGTCAGACAGCCTGGCAGAAGGTTCCGATTATGCAAGACCCCTTCCGACTTCTTTTACAACATGAGCACTTCTACGATACAGGCACTGAAACTAAAGCAAACACTGGAAGAAGAATTGGTACAATGTAGAAACATTTTTAGAGAAATAAAAAAGCAAAAAAGACAGAAATTACGATGTATTTCCATTAAGTTACTCTGTGTGTGTCTGCCTCTCTGCCTTCCTGAGACAGTAAGACCCGCCTCCCCCCCCTCCTCCTCAGCCCACTCGCTGAGACGACGGGACGAAGACCCCTGTGCTGATCCATTTCCACTTTAATGAACAGCAAACACATTTTCTTTTCCTTATGATTTTCTTAATAACATTTCCTTTTCTCTAGCTTACTTTATTGTAAAAATACAGTATATGACACATAGAACATACAAAATACGTGTTAACGCACTATTTATGTTATTGATAAGGCGTCTGGTCAACAGTAGGCTATTAGTATACTGTTGAGTTTCTGGGAAGTCAGAAGTTGTACGTGGGCTCACACCTCTAATCCTAGCACTCTAGGAGGACGCTGAGGCAGGAGGATTCTTTGAGCCCAGGAGTTTGAGGCTAAAGTGAGCTATGATTGTGCCACTGCACTCTAGCTGGGGCAACAGAGTAAGACTCTGTCTCAAAAAAAAAAAAAAAAACAAAAAAAGTTACACGTGAATTTCTTTTTTTAACAGAGTCTCGTTCTGTCACCCGGGCTAGAGTGCCGTGGCAGCAGCCTAGCTCACAGCAATCTCAAACTCCTGAGCTCAAGCGCTCCTCCCGCCTCGGCCTCCTAGAGTGCTAGGATTACAGGCGTGAGCCACTGCGCCGGGCCAATATGTGAATTTCTGACTGCACAGGGCGCTGGCACCCCTAGCCTCTGAGTTGTTTAAGTGTCAACTATCAACTTATGATTTTTTAAAATTCTAGCTATAGATTTAAAAACCTACAAAGAGAAACAGTGTTTGTCCAGCTTCTTCATGGCCGCACGGTGCAGCTAAGCAAGCAGTCCCGGCATCACTACCATCTGCTCTATGTCCATCTGGGCTCCCCATGCACCCGCTCTGCCTCAGTTTCTTCGTCTGGGTATGAGAACACGGCACGCACCCTCACGGTACGTGTCATCTGAGGGCACGCCCCTCTCTCACCACAAACTGAGAGGCAGAACTGTGAGGACGCTGTCTTTGCCGCTTTGCCCTGGAATCCCCTGCAGCGGGAAACAGCAGGCTGGAAAGTTTCCCGCTGCAGGGGATTCCAGGGCAAAGCGGCAAAGACAGCGTCCTCACAGTTCTGCCTCTCAGTTTGTACATATTGCACAAACATCATGGCAACAAAAAATGCAAGTCACCCTTGCATCACTGCCCGTCACCTGCGTCATGACATACCATTTTCATAAACACCTACATGTTTTATTTACAGTTACGATGTTTCTTCAGAGAAGAAACAGGAATTGAATCCTGCGGTGGCAGCTGAAACAGGGGCTGCCCCTCAGGCTCGGGCCCCACCAACACCCTCTGCACCCACTCCAGATCCCCACCCTGCAGCCTCTGCCCCGTCCCTGAACCATCGCTGGCTCCGCCCTCTCAGGCACCCACTCTACACCGTCCTACCAAGACCTCGCTATAGCCCAGCTTTGTGGGGTGGATTCTACCTGGGCTCTGTCAGGACCACTGTCCTGGGACTGCCCGACATCTACTCCCTGGGTGTCCCACGACACCTGCAACACCCGGCACATGGGGGGCAGGGGGTGCTGTTCTGCCAGGGCCACAGGACCCACACTGAATTATAAAAATCATTTCAGGCCAGGTGCAGTGGCTCACACCTATAATCCTAGCTGCTAAGATTAAAAGGATTTATTGTGTAAAATTTGGATTCAGTCAAAAGGCTGCACTCAGGATCCAGAAGGCCACATGTGGCCCCAAGGCCGCAGGTTCCCCACTCCTGTCCTTGCACTCTGAGAGGCCAAGGTGGGAAGATTGCTTGAGGCCAGGAGTTCGAGACCAGTGTGGGCAACAGAGACCCCATTTTTACAAAATAAAAAAATAAATAAATAGCTGGGGATGGCGAGTGCCTGTAGTCCCAGCTGCTTGGGAGGAGGTTGAGGCAGGAGGATCACTCGAGCCCAGGAATGTGAGGCTGCAGTGAGCTGTGATGACGCCACTGCATTCCAGCCTGGGCAACAGTAAGACCCTGTCTCAAAAAAAAAAAAAAAAAATCATTTCAGTGGGAAAATGAGGGCTCTTTGGAACTTAGGAATTTTTGATCCAAGAGAATAAAATTATTTCGCTGCAATAATTTTAAAGATAAAGGTGACTGCATCAACAAAGTAAAAGTAGCTGCTACAATCTAAAACTCACAAAACTGGTTAGTAAGGGCCGGGCACGGTGCCTCACGCCTATAATTCCAGCACTCTGGGAGGCCAAGGTGAGAGGATCATTTGAGCTCAGGAGTTCAAGATCAGCCTGAGCAAGAGCAAGACCTAAAAATAGAAAAATTAGTCTCTACTAAAAATAGAAAAATCATCTGGTGGTGCCTGTAGTCCCAGCTACTGGGGAGGCTGAGGCAGGAGGATCCCTTGGGCCCAAGAGTGTGAGGCTGCAGTGAGCTATGATGATGCCACTGCACTCTGCCCAGGGTGACAGAGACAGACTCTGTCTCAAAATAATAAATAAACAAACAAACAAACTGGGTAATAAGTAAAACTTTTAAGTTTTAAAAGGTAACTTTTAACTTAGGTTTTAAATGTGTTAACTTTTACAACACTGAAAAACCTAAACGGCACTGAGAAAATCCAGAGCAGAAACACGGATGCAAAGCTGAGTCCAGGCCAGACCCCCGCTGGTTAGAGGTCGGATGCACGTACCAGCCTTGGCTCCCACTCCTGGCTATGGGCAGGCTGCGCGCTGTGGGAGTCAGAAATACTCACTTCCTCTTAAACGTTTCCTCTTCTTTTTTCCTGGTTAGCTGCACAGAGTGAAGTTTATCTTCTAAGTCCTTTATCCTAAAAAGAAACAAATATTAGTGAAAAAAGCAGACAAGAGACTAAAGCAAAGCTCGAAGAGACTCCCAGCCCAGACCGTGCAATGCAGCCACAGAACTCTGCCCAGCAGACAGGAGGCGACACGCACTGGGCATCTTTCACGGCCTCCAGGTCCCGGCACGCCCAGGCTTGGTCCTGGAGCTTCCTCTCCAGCTCCGAGTTCGCGGCCTCGGCCCTCTGCAGACACTCCGTGGCCTTTGCTCCAGCTTCTCTCAGAGTCTCAAGCTCTTTGTTCAGTAGTTTAACCTTTGAACGATTTTTAAAAATTCAAAATGAGGATATAGTTAGAACCAATTGAGGCATTAGAGACATGTACGGACATTTTATCAAGACTGGAGAGAATAAAACTGAAGTTCAGGAAACTGAGACAGTGAGAATGTCCTCGCATGCCATGCCCCCATGGTGCAGACTCAGGTGAGACCAAGTGGCTCTCTGAAGGCTCCATAACCACCGAGTCAGGCCCTGGTCCCAGCAGAGACCCCACGTGCCTCCCAGCCCTACGCCGTTACAGACCAATTCAATTCCACTCTGTTTCTTAGCACACGATTTTAACATTATTTAAATAATGACATCAAGCATGAAGGGCATGTATAAGAACCTGGCTCACTGCTGAGTGACCCCACTCAAATCCTGGCTGCACACTGAATTTTTAAATGACCTCTCTGGGCCTCCATTTCCTTATGTGTAAAACACTGGTGGTGACGATGGTTGCTATACCCAAACCAGATAATATGCATACAGGAGCTGTGCACAGTGGCTCACGCCTGTAGTCCCAGCAACTTGGGAGGCCAAGGTGGGAGGACAGCCTTGAGGCCAGGAGTTTGAGACCAGCCTGGGCAATGTCGTGAGACCCCATCTTTAAAAAAAAAATAAGAAAAATTAGCCAGGTATGGCACCATGAGCCTGTGGTCCCAGCTACTGGGGAGGACAAAGCAGGAAGAGCCCCTGAGCCCAGGAGCGAAAGGCAGCCAGCCGTGGTGGCTCATACCTGTAATTCCAGCAAAAAAGACTCAGCTCTTGCTTTTACTAATAAACTGCACACTGTGACACACACCGCGGGCCCTTGCAGCAGGTGGAGATGGAAGCAGGCCCAGCACCGGGGAAGTCCCTCCTTTGACAGGAGAGCCCGCCCCACAGGGCGCACAGGGCTCCCTCATGCCCACCTGCTCGCCTGCTCCTCAGTGCTCGGAAGTTCCCAATGGGGCCTTGTGAGGGTCCCTGTGGGGCAGCCCCAGCCTCAGGCCCAGACCGCTCTGGTCTCTGGCCGACAAGGTCAGCACTACATCCAGGGGTGGGGTCGGGGACTAACAAGAAAGGGTCATGCAGGGCTCTGCGGCCAGCGGCGGCACGGTCGAACTCGGGCTGGCCTGGCCTGGCCGGGGGACTGTGATCTCTGCCAGGAGGCGAGACTGGGGGTTGCCTAGCCTGGGCCCCAGCCACTCTGAATACCTGCCCACTGCCCACCAGGGTCCTTGGGGCCTCCCCCTGGGCTGACGGCTGTCCTGTGGAGAGGTGGGAATGCCTGGGGGAGGGCCCTGTGCCAGCCACAAAGGCTGTCACCCACAGGGACAACCAGTCAGGCAACAGGGCCAGACATCACCTTCCCCTCCCACCCCCAGCTGCAGCCCTTGTCCTGCCTGTGTGTAGCCCCTCAAGGCTGGTCCCTGTTCCGCATCCTGAAAGTGACTCTGGCAGTGTCTGAGGTGGCACATGGAACCATGTGCATGTGCTGCTTGTAGCTGCGCCACACGCCACCCTGCGGCTCCAGAGAGGTGCTGAGCCCAGTCCGGCCTCTGCTGTGCGGTGGGGAGGTGAGCAGCACCCACGGGCCCGTTTCAAGGATCTCACTGGAGAACTCAGGCCGCCAGCAGGGACAGAGTCCACAGTAGCCTCGTTGCCTCGGCCAGTACCAGGCTGGTCACTCACCTCGAGGGAGGGCGCCTGCCCGAGGTCTCGGCAGCTCGACCAGGAGCGGAGGCGCCAGTGCTCCTGACTGAAGACAGTGACTCCGCAGTGACCTCAGCAGATGCAACCCCCACATCCCAGCAAGGCCCCGGCCCACGTGCCCGTGTGTGATTCGCTGACTCACGGTTCAGAAAGAGCCTCACCACTCAAGAGAGGGGGGTCTTAGGGCAGATGAGGAAAAACTTTCAACACTCCAGGGAGCCCCGGTTACCTTGAGCTCGTGGGATACGACCATGCTGCTCATGCTGTCGGCCTGCAGGCGGAACTCGTGCTCCCGCTTCTGCGCTTCAGATTCAAACTCCAGCAGTAGCTCCTGGAACACACCAGGCCACAGTGAAAGGACAGTGGTGAGGACCCACGCAGATAGCGCTGGCAGCTGAGAAGTCAGGGGGTGGGCAGGACGCAGCGGTCCGTGAGGAAGGCTGTCGAGGAGACAGAGGTTGGAATCGTGACACCGGCACGGCCAGTGAAACTGCGTGTCCTGAATTCTCTCTCAGGATTCTTCCCGCGGCACCCGTGATCCACATGTTTGCATGAACAGCAGAGGGGCCTGCAGGGCCGGCCCGCGCCGAGGACGCAGCTCTGTCCATTTCTCCCTTTAGCTCTGTCCGTGTTTGCCCCACAGAGTGAAGCCGGGGCGTGTACGGACTGAGAATCAACTGCTCCAGCACTGCGCTGGGGAGCACGGGTCCCCCGAGACCACCTGCTCTCCCAGGACCACCCACTCCAAACAGACTCGGTTACCTGACGGATGGGCACAGAGGGAGGCTGAACCCAACCCTGAGGTGCTACCAGGAACATCCGGCACCCTCTGCCGGCCCGGGGCAGACCGGACCCATACGTGTGCCCGGCAGTAAATGGACAAGCTGCACCAGCATAGCGGCACACCCCGATTCTGACAGCGAGCGGGAGCCTCAGAGAAACCGTGCAGAAAGCACAACTGAAAACATATATTTTACTTTTTTTACCCTTGGAAAGGCAAAAATGATGGTAAGGTCACAGCAGCAACACTTAATGGAATCAGAATATAAAAGTCATGGAAGACCGGGCGCGGTGGCTCACGCCTATAATCCTAGCACTCTGGGAAGCCGAGGCAGACGGATTGTTTGAGCTCAGGAGTTCAAGACCAGCCTGAGCAAGAGTGAGAC